TATATTTGCACGTGTTATGTGGCATATGGCACCATTATGTTGAAACCACATATTGTCCAAGTCGTGTTCTTCAATTGCAGGCCAAAAAAGTCGGTTACCATGCGGCCATAACTCTTCGAATTGACAGTGACAGTCGCGCTGTTGTCGTTTTCAAACAAGTCAGGTCTAATCACATCTTCGTACCAAAGAAAGCACCAGATGGTATGCTTTTTATTTGAGTGTAGTACTCTCTTATCTATTGTTTGAAGATTCTCAGGGCCGCAAATGCGACAATTTTGCTTATTTATGTACCCCTTGAGTAAAAAATGTTGGGGGAACTCGACTTTATATGGATGTAGGTGTAAGTCTATGTGCTAAATTCGCCATAATGTACCGTAAGAAAGTCCCAGCTCTTGAGAACGTCGAGAAATAGGTATATTCGAGTCTTCGGCTATACTTTCACTTATAGTAAAACGATGATGCACCGCCTAATTTTTTCAAATTTCTTTGTAATTTTAAGAATTGCTTGAATTGTTGGACGTTTAAATCACCATTTTCATAAATGCCTGACTTTTAACTAAAACCAAACATGTTTGGTATAACAGACAAGTTTAACAAATGTCAAAATGCAGTTCGGCACGTTTGAAACTACGAAAGGGATAACCCTATGTGAATGTAAAAAATAAAAATAAGTAATTACTGTAAAAATTCTTGGTACTATCCATGCATATTTTTTTATGTTATAGAATCTTGCCGCATTATACCGTAATTGTCACCACAAACTGATTTCCGTAATTAATTTGTTTATGCAAATTGATTTCTGTAAAATGGTATCAGTTTAAAAAGAAAAAGTTGAAAAAATATCATATTTTTTATTATTGTATTTATTCGATGCTCGCAAGTAATAAGAATTTATATTGTTTAATCCTTATTTTTTAATTTTTTTTCTGGATTTTAAATCAATTATTTTTGATTAAATATTATACTGAATCCTGTGAGCAAAAAATGCTTTTCTGTTGAATAAGTGAAGTAGCAATATTTTAAACCATTTAAATTCAGAAAATAGATGAGAGTGCACTCAAGGGAATGAACAAAGGTTTAAAGGCTAGGCTGGAAATAAATGGCATATTTACTATATTTAAACTTCGGCATCTGATTTTTACTCTTCTTTTCTATCTTGGTTTAGATCATGTTGCTCAATAGATTCTCTTGAAATAGAAAATACGAGATTTTATATCTCTGAGGCATAAACCAATTGCTTTACTATGACAAGATGTATCGGTAGGCATAATTAATCTCCTGAATTTTATAAAACACACCAAGCAGATTGAGCATTTGGAAAAGTGAAAGGAATCTTCTTAGTATAGTAAAAAGTTCGGTTTTTTATTGATTCTTCAAAATATGATAACTTTGTGTACATTTGTCAGATTTAAGTCAAAACGGCGCATATGCTCATAAACTTGTTGCCAATGAGATGCTTTATTGGCAAAAAAAAACTCGGAGAGCCAATTTTTTGCAGGCCTCTCTTGAGGCCAACTTCTCACCACTAAGCGCGTTCACCATGGACAAGAAAAGATGGTAATCACTTGGTCCGGACTATAAGGTGGGTTCATTGGACCTACCATCCGAGCTCCTGGAGCTTCTGGCGTGTCACTAAAGACGTGTGTGGCGTGGCGTTGTTCTGATGGAACATAATTCGGCCTCTGTTGATCAAAGATGGCCTCTTCTGGATGAGTGCTGTCTTCAAGCGGTCCACTTGTTGGCAGTAGAGGATCGATTTGAGCGTTTGGATATAGCGGAGCAGCTCGTAGTAGATGATTCCATGCCAATCCCACCAAACACACAACCATACATTCCGTCTATGTGGTCTTGGCCACCATCTGGGCCGCTTACTCGAACTTTGACTACGATCGTTTGCGCTCGTTGTTGCCGTAAGTGACCCATTTATCATCGCCAGTCACAATCTGCTTCAGAGTTTGTTGCGATTCAGCAGCGATTGGAATGGAAATTCGGTCTATCGAGCTTCTTTTTGAATCCAAGGTTATGCATATGGTTCGAAACGGTTTTCTGGCATATTTATAGTTTCTCAGCAATTAAATAAGTGCTCACGTGACGGTTTGTTTCCACTATTTCCATGATTTTAACGCAATCAGCCGCTTTAGCTACTTTTTTTGCCTTGATCGAAGAAAAATTGTAAAATATAGCGAATTTGCTCTTTTTTCTCTTTGCTGGTGTCCATCTTTGACGAGCGCTCACAACGTACTGAGTCCATCAATCAAAAAACTTTCAAAGACAAACTTTTAGCGCGTTTTCAATGATGTATAGTATGACATGATGCGACACGCAACACTAGTACTATGGACAATAACGCCATCTCTTAGATAAAAACCGAACGAACTTTTTACTTGACCAATATATCACAACGGGCGATTGATTGCTTCGAAAATTCTATATAATTCCTTTGTTCGTTCAAAGCTAGAAAATGCTAGCTTAATTTGGAATGCAATTTATATTAAAAAAATCCTCTAAACTTGAAACCGTCCAACGTAGGCTTATTCGTTTTGTTTTCGCTTCATTTCTTACTTCCGATCCTCTACCTTCTTATACTTCCCGATGTATGCTTTTAAATATCAAAAAACTTGATTTTCGATTATTTATTTATTTATTTATGACATCATCAATGGCTTAGTGAACTTTAGAGAACTGCTTGAGCGAATCAGCATTAAAGTTCCTCAAAGAACTTTATGCTCTCATTATCTGTTTTATTTGGATTTAATTAAAGCGAATTGTTACTACACCCCCTGAAATGTTCAAATGGCATCTCATGAAGCTTCGATCTTGATTTCGCATAAACGAGATGTCTTTCTCCAATCTCTTCTTGAATTTTCTGCTCTTCATAATTCCTACATGTACAATAAATATTTTTAAATAATTAAGTTTTGTTAGTGGAAGCTTGAGCTCGGGCTCGTATATCTAGTCTGTAAGTTTTATAAAATCTAGACTTAATTATAAATAAATGAAATAAAAAGAAATGAAATATGGCCACACGTTTGAATCACCACTTTTGTGCAGGGTTTTCCAATAAGAGCTATTATTTTGATTTAAAAAAAAAATTGACATTTTTTTAGATAAATAATCGGATGTTTGTTTGATTGTAAAGATGAATATATGCCATTAATAAAGGAAAACAATTTCAGCGACGCTTGCAGGACCGCAAAGTGGTTGCTGCATGCCCTCAATAGCTTTACGAATTCCATCTTAGCCCTTTCGACTACAGAGTTGCTTATAAGCAACTTCTCATATCTTATTACCAGGTAAGACTCAGTCCTTGTAGCCTTCCAAGATCGCATTAGCATAAATATTAACAAAAACTAATTTTCGGGGCAGTCGTCTATGTGCGGTCTTGAAAGGGTTAGAAACAATGTTCAGACGTTGACCTGTTGGCGTATACCATAGCACTGAGCTGTTGAAAGTAAACATTATACAGATCAATACCATCCCATTTCGGGCATAAAATATCGTTTAACGTCTCTCACTAGCGCAACCTGTTCACCGTAATTGTTGCTCCAGTCTCATTTGCGAAAAAGTGACCGAGCCATAAACAATACCGAAGAGTTGCAAGTTAAGAATGGAGAGGTTTTTCAACACTAGATCTTGACTGTTTCGCGCACCAGTTGCGACACTCTTGCCTATTGATGTAGTCATCGAGCCTCATTGGTCTAGATAGTTTTTGAATGAAATTCTGGATCATTTTCATGCATTTCAAGGAACCAATAAACAATGACACCACGTAGTTGATGATCGGCCGGGCTGGAATTCTTATGGCAACTGAACTTTATAAGCCTTAGGATTCATGTAATTACGTTTATGGAATGCCCAATTCCAAACAACGATGGGTTTTCTTTAAGACTCTGGGCTGCAGCAGTAATATTCTCAGTTGTTCTTGAACGATGTGTTCGAATTTAATTCTGCAGTTCACTAACTTAGAGCTGATCGGCATTTTCCACCAATTTCTGAAATCAACTAACGAATCATTTCTGCCGGGCTTTCACCATTTTTATAGTAAATTCTGATAACTTCAATGCGTTGTTGAAGCGTTCCATTTTCATTACTGACGCAGTTTCAAAGACGAAAAACTACAGAAAAGGGAAATAAGAATAATACCTCTTATTGGAAATCCCTTTATATAGCTGAAATGAAAATAAAGCTCAAATATTTATTTATGTATGCACTCCAGCACAGATGACGAAAGTACATAATCAAAAATTGATATCGAATGTCAAAAAGGGTAGGTACATAATAATATGCACGACATTGAACAACAAAAAACTAAAATGAATTGTGGGTGGCCACTTGAAGTTCAAGAAACAAAGAGTCGAACATTAACAGGAAGCCTCATAAAAATTTATTACTTTTTTACTTTTTATTCAAAAAAGGCATAATAACCGTAGTCCTTACGGTATGGCATAAGAAACCCATATACATAAATAACAGTAAAAAAGTAGTGCGATAGAGAAATAACAAGTGCATATCGATTTACAAAGTCTCAAAATAAAGAAAACGCAACAACAAATAACAGCCGCCGAAGAAGTAAAAGTAAGACATTAAGCAGTCTTAGCGAGCTGGTAGACGACCCGCCCACCGTTCCTTTTTGCTGTGCAGTGTAGTATTTCGAGTAAATAAAAGTTTATTCGTGCGATTGGATTTCGTTAATCTTAATGGCAGGCAAATGCTTGTTCAGTGCCCGGTGCGTAAAGAGCAGCTTAAAGGAAAATACTCTTTACTCAATCCTCGATAATACAATACATACGAGTATATTCGTGCAGACAAATCCATTTGGAATCCATTTGTAAGTATGCGCGCCACAAATGTCATAAAAGCGTTGGTTGTGGCACCGGAAGTTAAATGTAGTAAATATGAAATATTAAAGGACTTACGAATGGCAACCAAGGAAATTCGCCAATGAACTACTTATACTCTGCACAAATACTTCCTTCTGTTGTAAATATAACAGTACTTACCTAACGCATGACACTGAAGAATTTTCGTTCGACCTTCGCTCACTATCGAGCCTGAAGAAGAGGGCTGTGTGGTGAAACGTGGCGCCTGCAGTTGCGGGCCATCTGTAAGTAAAGGAAAACAGAAAGAAGAAATAAAATGAAAAATGTATTATTGTCTTGATTGCAAATAAGTGGCTGTTAAGGCTATGAAAAGGGTAAGAAAATATGCAATTCAACATTGCACATTGATCAGTGAGAAGAATGGTGTAATAAAAAACATAAAAAATGAAACAAATAGAGGAAAAAATAAAGCAAGTTTTGACAAATGTCAATAATCAAAAAAAAAGTTAAGATCACACTGATTTGCTACTTTGAAGCTTGGCACACACATTTCTCGAGGTAAAGGTCTGGATTGTAATAAACTCTTCCACCGGATCAGCTATTAACTTAAACAACCCAGCGTTTACAATAACAAAAACCATATCGCTAAAATTACTCAAAAACTCAAGAACAAAACGTGCATATTTAGAATTGATTCGGAGTTGGAAAAAACGGGAACGTAATCCCTACATAGCGCCGCTACGGAAGCAAATAGTTTTCGGCAGTGCCAGAAAACAGAGTTGGTACTTTGGGGAATGTCGAACTGCTTTGAAGAGAAACTAGACTGCTCACCTCATTATCTTGCGAACGATTATAACACATGAAGGTTAAGATAAATACCGAGAGCTGAAAAGGGAAGCAAGATGGGTTTACATACAAAAAAAAAGGAGGTCGAAACGCTTGAGTGTGGCAGAGAGGGTAACACCCAAAAAATCTACGAAAAGATACGGCGACTTACAGAAGGTCCCGGAGCAAACACTTGTAGAATCCAGAGAGGTATTCTAGTGACTTATACCCAGAGTATACTGAATTTATGGAGGGAACGATTCTCTAGCTTGATAAATCGCAGTGGTGATTCCGAGACCCCAATAGATGACGATGAAAAAGAAATTTCAATACCCGATTATTACGAGGTTCGAAGTCTGAAGAAAGCAGTACTAACGGCACGGTTATTGAATCCCATGATATCAATATCATCAGCATACGCTAGCGGTTGTACACTCCTACAGAAGATTATACCTTATCTATCTGCCCTTTTTCTCCAGCAACAAAATGGAATTGAAGAAATCACGCATTCATAGTCTCCCTGTTTGATTTGTAATGTATACAAAATAGCGTCGTATGTACGGGCGTGAAGAGGAAAAATCATAAAAAGCTATAAAAATATAAAAATAATTACTATAAATATATACTCGTACATACACGTATGTATACATAAGTAATATCATGTCGAAGCACCCTTAGCCTATATCTTTGATGGTAACTTAATCCGAAACCACAGTGGATGCTGGTGTAGAAGAGGCACTTCTGAAAAGTGCGCATGCGTGCCGTCACTATCTGTAACGCTGCAACCGCAAAGCAAAAAGACGTCTGCTGCACGTCAAGGCAGAATCAATTACACACATAAGTATGTATAATATTAAATGGCACAAACCTTTAAATACTAAATGGTAACTGCATTGCCAGTCCCACTTTCATATAATGTATCTTAAGCAAACAACGCGCAGTGAACCGGAAAGTGCATGCAAATCGAACCCAACAACATGAGAAGAAAGAAATAGTAGAACACTTAGGGTAACGGAAGAAGGTTGCGCACGGAGAATAGATGTCGATGGGATAAAAGTGTGTTACATAAATAAATAAATAATATAAGCAACAACAACAAAATCCCTGGTTTCTTGAGGAATCCACGACAGCTGCACATGCTACCAATTTCAAGCTAGTATTATTTTACTTTATTGTATATTATGCATTTGTACATATGTATGTCGTAGTGTTTGTCAGAAGGCTCATACAATGATATATCATTTCCCCCTAATGTCGATAATGTCTTTTGAATATAACCAATGAGAGTGCCAGCGCAATGCTGTCAGCAGAAAATATATTTCGGCTCGAAATGCACACTAGATTTACTTGTTTAAGCGTCTGCGAAGTCACGAAGACATACAGTGATATGAAAGTTTAATATTTTTTAATTTAATTTTTATAACAGTAATTAATAAAGCTTTTATTTGATGTCAAAAATATACTGGAAGGGCTTGAGATTCCCTGCCGTGCAGCGACTGCGATTAGAATAATTTATCTTGTATATTAAAATCTAATGACCGTTTGTAAAGATGTTCTTCCAAAAGTTCGCAACCGATTGGCTTAAGATTTTGACAGAATGCTTCTATGGTCTCTGGGAAGTGGACCAGGAACTGAGCCATTCGAAAAAATCTTATAGTACGATTTACTTGGAATTCGGTACAATGTATTTCTACTTAGATTAACAGTAAGACGAATCGAAAGTGGTCCATGGACTGAGTTTTACGAAAAAATCACACTTCTGGTTTCATTTACTTGAAATTCGGCGCATGGGTGGCTTTTTGCCAAAAATTCGTATTAATGGTTCTTTTTGCTTGAATTTTTTTTTTGCAGAAAGTGGTTTTTTTTTTTTTGAAGTACAAAAAGAATTCATGATTTGTTGACGTGTTCTGCCTAAATGAAATACTTTTATTTCTAGAAGATGGCTCAGAGATCTGGAACCAAGTACGATGTGTTCGAAGTTTTCTCGTAACATTCATTTTGACATTTTCGTGAAAGACTTTGGACAGTGAAGCTATGACCCACATCTACAAATAAGTAGACGGATCAATCTATACACATCAAAATCTTTCTTTCGTTTGTAAAGCTTCCGCATATTTGGAGTTACCGATCGACCGAAATTTTTACACTACTCACCTGCCTTGCTATTCCTCGATCAACATGAGCGAACAAGATCAATGCTTGCCTAAAATACTTAACGTTGTGGCGACAAACTCTTAATCACCTATGCACTCGTATATGCGTGGCAGTCTCAAAATGATCTATCGGCCAATTTATTTTCATACCAAAATACCTATTCAAAGAGATTCGGGACGGACTACACTGTACGCTAACTGCTATAATTTAGTGATGTCAAAGGAAGAACTGATTCACAGAGCAATCCCTGAATATATTGTATAAGTCAATTATGGGAATCGTTGGTTGTCGTTGCAACAAACTAAATGGTCTACGATCTTTAACAAACGATTCCGTGAAATACTAAGAGCGTATCCGTCACAGACAATCCAATATACAGCGTTTTTGGAAGCAGATGAGGCAGTCAATTATCCAACAGAATTCTTGAATTCTCTGGATTTCGCTAGAAATTTGGCGAAATTTTGCAACAGCGCACAAATTGCAGTCAAAAATTTCAAAGGAATGTAATAGATGCAAAACTTCTGACCGGACCTTTCAAAGAGCGGAAATATCCTTATATATCGAATCGTCGAATCATTCCATCCGAAACTCTGCTTCTATTCAAACGACTCCAGTTCCCTGTTCTACTAACATTTGCAGACGCTATAAATAAAGTTCCGGGTTAATCTATGGAATTATGTGGTTTACTAATGGTCACAGGCTGCTTCACAGATGGACAATTGTATGTTGCATGTTCCAGGATTAGCAGACCAGATGATCTTTTAATTTGCGTGGCCAATGGTAAAACCTCGTTCACAGCTATTGAGTAAAAAACATGATGCTGAAACTGTTTTATTTTTAATTACTATATGACACAGTGAAGCGTTGCTGGATACAGCTAGTTTTCTATAATTTTAGATGTTAGTCGAACCAATTTCCGAAATCCTAAACACTCAGGATTTTATAAAAGGATTCATAAGAAAATATAAAAAGATTAGCAATTGAATCCAGTTGACGGTATTTTATAGCCGTAAATCTAATTGCTTCTGTAATTTTGTACTCAATTTATATTTTTGTTATTTTTCCACAAGAATTCTGTTAGGATTGCCAACACATACGAAAATTTAAATTATGTTAAAACACACACAAGAAAAGAAGAAGAAAGAATAACACATTTTTTTTTACAAATTATTCTCCAAACTTTGAGGTTAGTATCTCTTGTCAGTTTTTTTTCTGTCTAAACAATGCATTTGATTTATTTGTATGAAGTATGTATTTAATTTGACAAAGTAAAAGCGAACCATCGGCTGAAGCGTCGAAGTGATACATTGTTCACTTTGTTGGGTCAATGTTTTGTTTCAATTTCATATTCATAACCGACAAGTGGTGTGGCATGTGCACACTTGGAAGTGTTTGGCATTTGCTGGCACAACTCATGCAGACATGTAAAATATATTTGTATGTATGTGCGCTTGTTAGCATATTTGACACTACCTCGGTGTTGTTGCGAAAAAGGAAATTGCAGTAAAGTTACAACTTTGTACCCAACCCCTTTTTAGCTGCCTCAATGTAACTAGTTTGGTTTAGTTTCGTTTAACTTACTGCTACCATTTGCGGTTAGATAAAATATTATAACAACGAACGAAGTGTGGCATTATTTCCATGTGCACAGTTGTATTTAGGGCAATATGTTGGTAAACGCACAAGTACTTGTAGGTAAAAGCATTTGCTTACTCAAGATGTATTCAATTGCACTGCAGAATCCACAACAAAGAGTAAAACTAAGGAACAACGGCAAAAATTTAACAACGAGAAATTGTCAACAGATATTATAAAAATACATGTAAATGGTATGCATTCGGTAGGCATTCCAGAAAACATATGTAAAGTAATGAAACCAAAAGCTGAAAGAAACATTTGCAACCCAATTTTATAAGCGAATATTATGAAAAAGTTGCAAGATCCAACATTGCAGGAAATTGTTTAAATTTGGGGGGCTATGTGTAGAAGTTCACGAAAGTGAGGAAAGTTTTTGACTGTCATTTACCTGGTAGAGGCCAGAAACGATACTCCTCCATATGGTTCAAGTAGCTTACGACATCCGGTCTTAGACCAAGTATCCCCTGGGTAGCCAACAAAACATCCGCTTGGAGGCAAACTAAAGTGAGAAGGCGAATCCCATGCGGTTGTGCATAGGGCTTGACATCCACCACATGAAAAATAAACTCCAATGAAAAATTGTTTTATGCACCCGATGAGACACCTCTTAATATGAGTACGCCCCGCGTTGTAAAGGCATGCTGGAAGGTTCGGTCCCTTAGTTG